GAAAGAAGCCCTTTTGCATTAATAGCCAAAGATAAAAATTATTATATCAAGGTATGACTCCCCGCTAATTATACCCCATGCTTCAATCGTTTTCTCATGAACAACAGACAATGATAGTAGTCCTTACCGTAAATTGAACAACATGTCTTGTTCTTGTTTGGTCAATGGGTTTTGTTCAGAGTTATTCCACCAATCGAATCGAAACTAACAGTTAAAACTAAAGGAGACTCACAAGAAGCCAATGAGAATGTAGAGTGAAACAAAAAACTTTCCCGAAGCCCTGGAAAACGTGAGAGACCCTAATTTGATTTTCTGTTTTACTTGTGCATCTAATTGGTTGAGAGGGTAGCGTGAGTGTTATAGACCAATCACAGAGCAGCAAAATGAAGCAAAAGCAATGCAATCCCAAAATAATTCCAATACGTGATTGGAAAATTGCTTGAAATAAGTTGAAAGTGAAAAACAGAATCGACTTTGGATTTCATTCACGCCATAATAAAGATAAGCCAACGTGGAAAAGAAATTAGAAGCATGTGCATTCTAAGATCTCCTCTGCGCGATAGAACATAACCATAATGTTGCGTTGAATTGCGTTAAGGTAAATGAAACGACAAGCAAAGACTTCTTGAAAGGACGAATAATCAAGCTCAAGATAATTTGTACTAACACACGGAGAGGCTTGAATAGAAGCGGGGTGTTATTGTTCAAATATGAAGGATCCTTAAATTGTAAGTTTTTAAAATCTTCCATACAATATTCGGAGTTTGTGTTATCTTTTATCTCCTTGACGTTTTTACCATGAAAGTTATACAAGAAATTGCCGAGGGTATTTAAGTCAAATGAAATACGCAGTGACATAGAGTAATGTTGTGTCAAGGTGTTCCCCCACTCGAATTTAGAAAAAATTCGAATTAATTTCATTAGTTATAAATCTTTCTCATATGAAGACATTTTCAATGCCGTCATAGTGACCACCTACATGAATATGGCGATTGCCGTATTTATGTAAGTCTTTATTTTCTTTGACAGATTTGATAATTTTTATTTTTTCTTCAAAAATAAATAATCATCAACCGAGTTTAAGGCCCGTACTGTAAGCCACGAGACCAAGTCTTTTTCGCTCTGATTTATGACCCAAGCGCGAAGGGCGTGGGCCATGTATCGTGGCGGTAAAAGCGAGGTTCCGTAACTTACAGTTCAGATCGAAAAATTGAGGCTAGTAAGATTTTTGTTTTATCTCTGGGTTCAAATACATAGGAGGAAATTCCAATTCAAATACACGTTTGAATTTAGTGGGCTGAACAGGGAAATACGTCCCGCTAAGTTGACCAATCATGGCACACGTACCAACTGGAATATGATGATATTTTTGTAGAACCAATTCTATTGCGCCACCAAATACTGTACACTGCATTTGGTTCTTTCAGAGTGATGTATGAGTCGCATATGATATCGATATCCTCATATATAAAAGCAGAACATTTCAAGGTTCCTTCGGGATACGAATTATGCCTTATTTTGCTGTTGGTGTCACTGAGATAAATTCCATGACCGCAAAACTATCAAGTCTTATCAGAATGTTTTCTTTCAAGGTTCTATAACAATTCCCTTTAACCCAAACACGGATGGAAAACTACCCTCCACGCCCCTCATCGCTGGTGTTACCACTGCCATTTTGGTACTCCTTGTCATTTCCTCCCTCTTGGTTTATCGACGCCAATATTTAAAGTAAGTGAGTCAAAATTTTAAAGGGTATAAAAGACAAAAAATGTCATTGTTGAAAGTCTCATGAACTGTAAAATTAATAGTTTTTGTTTTCAATTTTTTTCTTTATGTCATTTATGTCTTTGATAGGAGGGACCCTCATCCTAAGGGAGAGAGCCACGACAGACAGGTACCAATAAAGACATTATTCTGGTTGAAAATTTTCTATTTTTTCACTCCTTATTCAAATTTTTTTTCAGGAAACAGAAACACCGTGCGCAGATCCGGAAAATGGAACTGATAATGAAAATGGTTTAACCGAACTTGCTTACAGGGAACCAGGTTAGTGAAGGCATCATCACTGATACGGTAATCGAAAAGTGCTTTGAATATCAAGAATGAAGAATATAACAACCGTTGTACATCTGTAATTTGGAAAAAAGCGTTTCGTGATTATACTTGTCTACTGGATTAAAACAAGAGAAATTATAACATAGCTAGTAAATTTGTCTCATCAAATTCGATTGCGCGAGCGTGCTTCATATTCCTATTGTGCACGCTCATGACGTCAGCAAACAAATCTCTCGAGAAAAAAATATTCCTTCGGGTTGAAAATGTTATAAAACAATTGGTTAATACGTCAGCTGTGCGTTCATCGAGATATGAAGCACTTGGGAAGTTTGGAGAGCACTCAAGAAGCTAGAGTTTACGCATCTTTCGTTTTCTCCAAACTTCCCGCGTGCTTCATATCTCGATGAACGCACGCTGACATATGAACCAATTGTTAAGTGTTAATGAAAATGTTGTGGCGAAAAGCTTATCGTTTGTCTCACGATGTAGAGACAAGCTATTGACCGTGGACTAATATCAGTATCTCGGCAACTGCCCACCTACCCCTCCCCTAACCCAGCAAAAGTCAATTGATAACAAGTTAGGGTTAATGTTGGATTCGGAGAAGGGGTAAGTGGGTAGTTGCTCAGATACTGATATTGATCCCCCGCGAATCAGCTCAACTGTGTTGATCGCGATGTTTCAACCGCAATATTGTCAGTGTTCGTCAGGCAACGAGGTCAAAAGTACACTGGTTCGTCATTATTGGTGTGATCTGGCGCGTCGTCGTCGGTGAAGAGAAATAAGTCGAAACATAGATGAGAAAGAGGAAAATGATCCTAAAATTAAGGAATTCAGCCGACTCGGGATCGATTGCGGGAAATGATCATGAAATAGTTTCATTTTCGATCTCTGCATTTTCTGGAAGCGTTGACCAATTTATTTTTTAAACTTTGTTTTAGCTGTTTTTGCATCAATCTATCAAGCTCCTGTTTACGATAGAGAGGCACATTTAAGCGATGAAACAGAAAATAATGATAGTTCTAACGGAGAACACATATACGCTTCCTTGAACATTTCTGAGGGACCAAGTGTATATGGCCATAGAGACGACCAGGATAATTGCCTCATGAGTAAAGATCAAGCTGTTTATGGTCTCATAGAGGAACTCAATGTTGCCCAACCGGTGCACAACAGTTTTGAGGAACCACGCCGTGACGTTTCTCACAGACCTGGCCAGTACGGCATTGTGTCTTCCGATGAACCAGTCCACAGCACTTTGGAAGAGACTGCCCACTGCTTTGACGACGGTACCCTGCCTACACAAAGAAATCTTGAGGTGCCATATCTTAAAGATGTGGAGGAATCGATTCAATATCGTACCACGGGTCCTAAAGAGCCCGTTTATAACACATTGGAGGAACCTGTTGGTGATGATGACAATGACCCTGTATATAACACTTTAGAGGCTCCTGAAGGTGCAGAGGATCCTCTCCATCCTAGTGCTATGTCTACAGAAGAACCAATCCGTCATACCTTGGAACAATCCAATCCAAATATCTCAGAAAAAGCAGATGACTTGAAATTTACGACTGAGCCAGTTAACGACATTGTTGAAGAGGATACTTCCTAAAAACGTTTTTGTTGAAGGCGGTAGTCATGGCTCTAGAAAAAAAGCTCTCCTTGCTTCGTATGCCATGCTAGTACTCAAGTAAAAGAAAAGGGAATTATAAAAATCATTGCAGTCGGTACATAGAAAATTATCCGTTAGATAATGTTTATGAGTCGATCGTAGCTTCCAGTTATACTTTTGTTTCTTACTCGAGCAAAATCTAGAGTCTGAGAGTGTAAATAAACAGGCCAGTTATGTGCATGAAATGGCTTAGAAATAATAAGGAGGTCAGACTGAAAAAGAATAATTCCTTAAATATTTTAAAATTTGCACTGTTAGATTTGAAATGATTATTTTGGAAAATAGGGTGTTCATATCTCAAAGATGGTTAATTGGTTAAGAATTAAGAACGATCTGATAAGAAAATTAGAAAGATTAAGTAGCTTGTTAGAAATTTTCCCGTGGTGAGACGCAGCCCCGATAATAATATAGTTCTTGTAATATATAATAATCGGTTAAATAAAATTATCCAATACTACTTTTATCGACTTGTTTACGAGTATTCCTTGATTTCAAAGGAGAAATATTTAAACCTCTTTCAAAGTTTTATTTACCAAGATGACTAACCACAAACTATTTTGCGATATACTCTGTGATTGTTCTAGTTTTATCATTTCTCAGTCATTTTATCTAATTTTCAAAAGGCGGCATTTGTATTGCTGCAGAGGCACCAAAATAATCAGTTCTTAACTTCCTTAATTTTCTTAATAGCCAAGTTATTTTCGTATCAGTGATGATTGTAAATCAAATTAGGTCAACTTAGCTATATTAAAGCTACTTTAAGGTTAACACATATATCTCCCACAAAACAGTGAGGAACCAACTAGCGGTAAAAGAATTGTTTTGCTAACGCCAAATACAGGCATGTTCATGAGTCCTATTTAAAGTTCATTGGAACGATTACCTTTTCAGTTTTGCTTTGGTTCAAGTCTATTTGAGGAATAGCAACAAAGCAATTGCCGAAAGCCAACAGAGAAACAATATACAAACAATTGAGACGTCAACAAAGATGAGAGCACTTGGCGTGGTTCAATAGACCCGTAAATTCTGCACGCATTATGACATGATTTTACAATTCAGCCGAAGCAATTCAGTGGATATTTATAGTTGAACAAGACCATACGTCGAAGTGTAAGGGGGAAAAATTAACTTTATGAGAGGAAATGTTACACGTCAAGTGACTAAGGAAACGTCACACTGAGTTTTCTGACGTCGACAAGAAAAAAAGTTGAACCTTTTTACGATCAGATAAATTTCAAGATTTCAAGCAAACGGTGTTCATTAGTGAAGAAAGATGAAACTATTCAATATTACGAAAATCGTGATTATTGCGACCTCCTTTATTACCATTATAAAATCAACGGAGCTCGAGATCACCAGGGTAAGACCAAAAGGAAGGAATGGATGGACGCAAGGCAGAGATTTCTTTAAAATTCAACCATCCTTGTCTACTCAGTACGGTGGGAACAACACGACTGTGAATTGTGCAAAATTCAATGCTGACGAGATTAGTCATGGTGGCGACCAATTTACTTGTTTATGCTCCAACGAGAATGGCACATTAATACTCGAAAACGATGAATGGAGATGCCGACAAAATTCTCACGTTCGTAAACTGCTAGGTGAGTTCATAACAAAACGATTTTTTCGATTATTTCAGTAGAGATAATCTTAACTAAGATAGGTAATATATTTAAAGTTAGTAACTTCTCTAAAAACAAGTTTGAAATAACAGTTATGTAGTCAGCGGTATAATTCATACTTTTGTTTCAGCCTTATCATTCATTCTTCTTGATTCTTAAAATCTCTTTTTATTACTTTATTTACTTAGACTACGAACCAACACACCCTAATTCAAATTGTAGACAGTCTTTTCATTTTGTGTGATATAAATCTGCTCTGATGTTCATAAAAAGCCTAAAAATAGGAATAATTTATCATAACTATTCCACTAACAGTATTGGGTAACAGCTGCCCCTAATCGATAACAATTCTGAAAAACATCAATAGACCGTCTCCCTGTCCAAGACTCTCAAACGTAACTTATTTAACAAGAACTCAAAACCCTTTAAATTTTTTTAAATTTTATATTGTTGCAATGATAAAAAAAAATACTGCCACAATATATTGAATAAGGAACTTCAATGATTACGCCCCCGGATATGTTCTTCAACGAAATAATTGCAGCTTAATGAAGACTTTATTCCGGTTTTCCGAAATTTGTGGACGTTAGGATTGGTTTATTAGTCTTCATAAGCCTTGACACCCCGTCGTAACTATATTTCTCCTCTCGGTATAAAATTGCCACTCAGCTAATCTGTGTATTCAATAACTCAAATGCAAAAAATGCCCACATTAATCTATTCTTTCGTAGGATACACACGACAGAATAACGTCCATTTCGAGAACGAGGGCCATGACGATGCATTACGCATGCTCACGAATAGTGAGTTCAGAAGAGTGAAAGTGTGGTGGTTTTGGTTTAATTGCGGTGTGGACAAATATAAATCTTGGTATATTGCATGCAACGGTTCTGAGATTCCATTAATGGGTGATCTGCAGCTGTTTACCATAGAGAGAAGATACCATCACAATTTTCCTTATTTTCTGAAGGTGAGAAGCAAGTGGTTTCCATAAAAGTCCTTATATTTCGCCTACCATGCGACATAAACGTAATTAGGTATATACGGATATATATATGGTCATCGTGCGAACTTGGGTTACCTGTGGTTTAATGCATTAATATTAAAAATGACCACTTGATTTAGCGGTTACGTATTTGTGTGTTGTATCATCGTAGGCAGAACCAGCGTTTTTAAGTAATACATCTAGAGTAGTATTTTCGCGGCCAGAAATACGCTAAACGAACTTGATTGATGAAATAAAATAAGATCAAATTGAAATAGACCCTTCTCAATAGATCTTTCTATCTTCAATCTATCCGCCTTTAAGATTATAAAGCAACCCTGGCCTTACATATCAAACCTTTGCTGGAAGGTAATCTATATCGGGAAAGAAAGCCGCAATATTATTCATTATCAAAACGGCGTAGGCCTTCGATGGAAAGATGATCGAAGCAAAATGTATCGTCGCATGAAAATATTGTGCGTTACGCAACATTAACGCATTAGCTGTAGCCGGTAAGATTGAAAGGTTCTTGCATTGCACGAAATCTGGGGATCAAAGCTGATTAAACAACCTAATACTTGTTCCACCTGAGTGAAATCCCCTTTTTTTTACTGGTAGTCATATTTTAATCCACCTGTTATATTGCCTTTCTTTGTCTGTCTACAGGTGAACAGTGGCTCATCGAATGCTGATTTATTGAACGGAAGAATTATCAAGCTTGGTATTCAGTGCACTGATAATGCAAAAAATCCCCTGAGCACATTAATGCTGCTGTTTAAGTACGAGGGCAAAGTGAATTGTAAGCTCCGTTTTTCTTTTATTTACGTAGAAATATCATATACAGTGTAGTGCCCAAGAAAGTACAATTTCTTACTTAGTAACTCTATTTCTTAGCTTTCTTTTAAGCTTCAGTCGATTACAATAATTGCCTGGCGAGGGGTTCAATAGTACTAAACAATGAGTAACCCTCATAGTATCCTATTGTTCTCTCTCTGCATTACATCGGCGATGTCAGCCTGAGAAGGTATATGAATTCAGTCTAGTCCAAGTTTCTGAGGAAAACGGAGGCGGGATCTTGTTATTAGGAGGAAAATTGTCGTGGGTAATCTTAAACCAGCTAAAACGCTCAATATTGTAGTGGGCTGGCTGCACTACAATATTTTGATATTGTAGCAGTGCTTGCGGCAATATTTTTGATATCGCAATCTGCTTGCGGCAACATTTTAAATATTGGAGTGGGTTCGCTATAAACTGTTACCGTTTTTACTTTTTTCGCTGCTCAGTTAATATTAAATAAAATTAAATAGGTGATTATTGAGGCTCACATCACTATTGAATATAAAGCTGTGAGACTCAGTAATTATCTGTTAAAGATCAACATCAGTCCACACTTAGAAGGTCAAATCAGCCCATATTTAAACGTACCTCAAAAATGTTAATCGCACAAGACTCACTCACATGTACCAAATATATCTTTCTATTCTTGAATATATGTGCTCTTTTTAGGTTCGTTATCAACACCAACCTCTCAACCTATGGTCTCAACCAAGTCTCTGCGAAACATTTTCACTTCAAAAACAGCGGCTACAAAAACAACGTCAACAGCAAAGGCTAAAACTTTGAAAACGAATACTAAAGCAACCACAACATCAAAGTCAACAGTAACTACAACAGCAATACCTAAAAAGGACACGAAAGCTATACTAAAGGTGAGTAACTTGACATTGTCTCTAATCGCAAGTAGTCCTTGGGCTTATATAGCGAACGTATCCCACATTCTACTTCCTTTTCGACTTCCTTTTCGAGGGCGTAGCTTGAAGGGAGTGGGGGGGGGGGGAGGGGGGTTTTGCGGTGCCCGTGACCCCGTTTTGAAGGCTTTTTTAAGTAACACATGGCATGGAGGTCGACATGAAAATTTGGTGAGTACCCTCTGTATGACACAGTTTGACCCCTCCCCCTTGTAAAATCCTGGCTACGCGGCTGCTTTTCGTTCTTTTTGTTTTTTTGTTTCTTACAGTACCCCCCTAAAAATGAAAAGCATTAATAAAGGAATCATCTTACTGACCTTTTGTCCATGGTCCGAAATGAATTGTTCGCTCCCTTTTTTGTTCATTACCCGTTGAAAAAATTACGTGAATGAGAAAATAAAAGAGGTACTTACAACACAAAATAAGCGAGGAAATTAAGAAAAAAAGGGGGATGAAGTTATTTAGCGTGTACCAGAATCTCGGTCGGAAGAGACGAGCGAAAAAGCGAACGAGTAACAATCCATCATAAGCTTCGCCCTTGCGTTAGTTCTTGAGACCCGCTCCGCAAGCCAAAAGTACGAGAAATACATTGCCAGATTTAGTTCAGACTGGTCAATTTGAAAACAAATTTGGACGTATGAAAGTTTCAGATACGACTACGACGATTCGTTCCTTTGACAAGAGTTATTATCTATTTCCCCATCAGGCTACTGTCTATCCAAATCCTAGCCGTGAGCAGAGAATCGATAAAATTTCATCATCCATTACCCTCATCGCCGGTCTTAGTTCTTTAATTTTGGTTATTGTCTTCGTTATCGTCATATTGGTTTACCGGCGTTTCTATTCAGGGTAAGTTAATTATAATTACATGACGGATAGTATATCCGCTGGAAATTTCATACTATGCTTTTTAGCTACACAGCAATGTCTATACCTTTTTGCGCAACAATTCTTCAACGGATCTAGCCTTTTCAAGAACCCTCATTCCAGAGGGAGTTAAGACATAGTAGTAGGGGTCCATGCGCGTTGCCACCGTGAGCGAAATTTGCGACACTGGATTGGATATTACTTTTTGCGAAAGATTCATCTACGATTCTTAGAAGAAGAAATGTGATTTCATCCTAGATAATTGTTTCAACTGCCAAAATATTTTTTCCACAGCATGAACCTCTGCGCGAAAAGCGAAACCGTCGAAAACAAGGCAAGTTTCTTTCGAATGCCTTCTGCAGAAATTTTTTTACAGTTAGCCGGATTGCATAGGTATTAAAAAGCTTTTCCTTATTTCGTCCTTACAACATTAATTGTAGGAAACAGCTGTAGAGAACGGTGAAACAAGCTTAGCGTACGAGCCGGAAATTGATGATGAAAACGTTTACAAAGAACTCGAGTTGAGAGAGCCAGGTAAATAACTGATTTCTTAACTAACAACAATCATGGCGACCGGAATAAAAACTTTCTGTTACGAAGCGACTAGCACTAGACACAATTATCAAAATAGAGAAACACAAAAGAACTCAACGCGCCTTAAAAAAGAACGACGTCAACTATAACAACAACAAGATCAATCGGGGACCAGTCGGTATTTACCGCTGGAAGGGGAGGGGGAGATTTTTGTGGGAGGATCACATGGTTTTCAGGGGAAACGGACAAGGGATCAGTCATCGACAACAGAGTATGAAGGGAGGACAAAAAAAAATTGACGGCCAATAAAGGTCAATGAAGGGGAGGGGGGAATTATGAGAACATTAGAGAGCTTTACGTGAGGATCAGTTTAATTGTATTATCTTTAGCTGTCTTAAGACAGCTTTAAGAGCTAATATACTAACGGTCACCGGTTCAAAGCAGTTCATACCTCTATTTGTGATGATTTTTTTCAACGTATCTTACAGCAGTCTATCAAATGCTAATTCAGTGCAGAGCTGCACAACCAGCTGCCGATGGTGATTTTCGTGAAAACCATGTGTACGAATCTGTAGACATTGTAAAGGAGCGAAACTTTTATGGACCTAAGAGCAACCAGAAAACAGCCCATAATGCCTCAGGAGCTTCAAATTATTACGATGCAACTGATATCAAGAGTTGGCCACATGGTCCCTTTCGAATAGACTATTGCGACTATAGTGTCAGGGAGGTGCAATCCTCAGTCCCTTTCCAGGGATCTGTCGAGGGACCTGATGATTATCTTCAACCAGTGGACGATGTGTCGGTGAAACCTTACTCAGAAGTTGCTATAGGAAATGTCAACTATGGTTTTATGTCAACGAAAGGGACAGTTGATAACGAATTAGAGGGATCTGCCAAACTTCACGGTGTGCAATCTGTGTACAACGTGTTAGAAGAACCGTATGCTGAAAGTGCAGAAGAACGAAGTTATTATGGTCCTTTGTCTTTAGCTATAGATGAGCCCATTTACAGCACTGTGGAAGAATCTCAGCTTTATGATATTCAAGTGAAAGATAATTCCGAAGGTACATACGAGCCAATCTACACTACTATTGAAGAAGAGTCTCGTGAAGGAAATATAAACAACACACAATAAATATGGTTGTTCACATATAGTATTTATAATAAATTATATTTTGACGAGTTATGAATATGCATCAACAAGTTAAAATGAGGGAAGATATTAGAGGGTTCCTTGCTCCCAAGCATGGTTTCGTTCTAAGGTATCTCTGATTAGTGAGGAGAGGGACCCAGGAATTGGGTGGGCAGCTTGTAATTCAGATGATAGTAGTGCATAACAGTTATCTGGAAGGCCTTTTTGAATGCCGAGTGCAACCTACTAAAATTTACGGATATTACACTTTACCACTGAGAATCAATTACCCACAAACATATTTGGCAGTGGAAATGAGCCTATTAATGGACACCAGAAGACGTCTTTCTTGTCTACTAATTGAGCTGTCTGTGGTCGGAAGCTGAAATACATCTACCGTGTAGAGAGTTATGACCATTATTCCATAATGCAAGAATCAATGATAAATGGCGAGGTTTCCTTAGTGGAACCAGTACTTTGACAATGTTAATAATGAAAAAACAGATGAATAAATGTGCAAATCATAATTATGCGCTAGCTTGATGGAGACAGCGTTAAATCATAGAGAACTCCATCGTTCAATTTAAATATAATTAATGGCTTAAACGACGTTCAAGTCGTAGTTTGGAGGAAAACAATTTAATCAATTAACCAAACTAGACGAATTTGTTTTGTCTATCAGACTCTGGAGGTCAGTTAGTGAATGTACGTAAAATTACTATACCGCAGCTAATTTTAATGGCTGTATGTTGATTTAGCCTTGCCTTCAGCTAAAAACATGAAATACGGTGTTTTAATTAATAAGAGCGACTAACCTAAATGATGATCAATGCCTTGTTGATTGTTACTTTGAACATCCCTTAAAAGGCTTAGCGCTCACAAACACTTTTCTGAAATTCAGTGAAGCTCAGTGAAATTTTCAAAGTTTGCTTTGAAAAAACAAGGCCCTCGCATCGGGCGAGTTTCAAGGGTCTTGTATCCACACCGTGAAAGTTGGCATCACGTAATTAATATTCTTCGATTTCTCAATTAACGTTCGTTAAAAAAAACTTGACAGAAATAACAACGATGAGTTCTGAATAGAAGATGCAGGCTACGCCAGCATTCATTTTGTCCCGGAATTGAATATAAAGGAAAGAATGTTTTAAAATCGCTTCTTTTAAACCATGCATATACAAAAAGGTCATGAAATATGACCTTGAAAAATACATCCCCTCTATACAAATGATGGCGAAATGTTTGTACTACATACAATATAGCAAAGTTTAACTTACTCCTGCCTAATTCGGTGTATAAAAAAATCTAGAAAAGTCCTCTTGAATGTTCCCGTAAGAACATATAGCCACGCCAGGTGACTTCATCATAAAGAGAAATCTCTCTCTTAGATTTAGGACAGCATTTATGCGCAAAGCACAAAAGTAAAAAGTAAAAGACAAAAAGAAAACACTTGATATTTTAAGTATTTCGGAAGGAACAAGTTGATGCGATACAAAGGAATAATTAGTTAGCGGTGCAATATGGTGATTCCTGCGAGTTTGGAACAACTATAATTAGAAATATTTGATCCCTGTAATTAAGAAGTGAGTCGTAGAAAAGAGCCCTTGTCGTTGGTTAATTAAAAGATCCCTCATTCTCCAAAAGCCATCAACAAGATAAGATCGAGGGTGGGAATATCATTCAATCAGGATTAATGGTCTTTGATAAAAATGAGATACTATAACTTATAGAGGTCTGTTAATATCTATATAAAATTAGTGGCTATAGTGCTGTTGAAAGATTTATTCAAAACATGACCACGGAATTTCTTAAGAACACATAAAAATTATTTGTTTTTTTTCACTAAAAAAACGAAAATTGTAACTAATTATCATTATTGCTTGTCAGTTGATATTATGGATCTTTTTGGTGTCATTTAAATGATGGTAGAGTCAAATGCCGAGCTTTGTGTTTGTAAAGGAAAAATATCAGTTGTTTGATAGAGGTCGACTTGTTAAAACTCTCAAGAATTTTGTCTCCGCTTCAACAGATTTGCAATTCTACATCCACAAGTCTGCTATTAGCCGGGAGTCTGACATTGGGAAGTAACACAGGGTAATTGGTAAGTAGAACTTGCACATTTTTGCCCAAGCATCACAAAGGGAACGGTTATCGAGGCTTAATTCGACTGGGAGTTCTCGATTTCGTGTATGAAAAAAGTTTGATGCAAACTTGAAACCGATATGCGTTTATACTTCCTAACAACAACATCATTTATATTATAGAACTTGACTGAGAGCACGGAGTCGCTTTGGACAAAAAGGAAGCAGTTTGATTCGGAACAAAGGTTTTCAACCTTCAGAAATGAAGACATTATGCTTGGCTCTGATATGTCAATGTTTCGTCACTTTTACATTGGAACAAAGCTTCGAGATTTTGAGGCGAAGCAATGGCAGAGACTCGTTTGATATTCCATCTTCAGTGTGTAATCCAAAAGGCCCAAATCCAGCCGTCAGATGCAAAACATTGGGTGCTTTTAACCGGAGACGCAAAAAATGCTCCTGTTTGTGTCCTGGCAGGAATGCCACATTTATGTTTCACCAAAAAAAATGGTCTTGTCTCCCAAATGCACAAGGCAGAAGCCACTACTACCGGGGTAAGAAAATACAGTCAAACTATCTAGTACAAAATTGTTGGGTTCTTATAAATGAACTCAGAAACAAAGCTACTTTTTTAGAATAAGAGAAATGGTAAGTTTTGAACTCGGTGAAGAAATAAAGAAAGAAGTTTTTCGTCTTGTCACGAGCGTGGAGCAAAGAAAAAAATTATGAATTCCCATGAGGAAACGAACCTCAGACCTTCGGATTCCGCGCTCCGATGCTCTACCACTGAGCCACAGACTCTAAGGTGAGCGAGGTCTATTACGAAGTTCATATGACACGCGTCCTGCATACTGCTAGGATCAGCAATTTCGATAGCGTCATGGGGACTCAGAATTTTTTCTTTGTCCCTCGCTCGTGACAAGACGAAAAACGTATTTCTCTGAAGCTACTTTTTGTGCACTATTGAAAAAAAAGGGTCGACAATGGAGACTTGGTGACTGGAATTGGGCTCATCAATCAATCTTTCATCAATTTTAAGGCATTTTGAAAACCCGCAGATTTTTTGCAATGTTGCTAAAACAAAAACTTTTTCGCTCAAAACCAACGCGGCACTTTAAACTCTTTTCCCTATACCATTCCTTGTCGGTTAGCTTTTAATTTACTTATCTTCACAAAACCTATGGACGCGATTTCAAGGGAGCAAAAATTAACAATCATTTTTTTCATACTGATATCTCGATGTCTGTGTGACTAAAGTTGTAAAATTCGTTTAAGAACATGGTCCACAACATTCTTTAAAAAATTGACGATTACTTAAGCCAAATAACTGTCCTTCAAATCAAGTGAGGTATTTTTCTGTAAGGCGCTTGATTGTTGCGGCTTTTCTAAGGTTACTTGCAAATTCCAAATTGTCTTTGCCTCAAAAATTTTGTATTGACGTGAGCTTAGAAATTTTTTCAAAACTCCCGTGACTTTTGAACTTATTTTTGGTACAACGTAAGTATCTTAAAAAAAGGTTGCACTTTTTAAGATTTGCTGGATTCTCTTTTTGCACCCGCAGAGTGCGTCACGAAAACAAATCTCTCCAGACATAAGGATTTCAATTGTAAACAAATTTCAAAGCTGTTGAGCTGCTCAATACAGCACGAAAAAATTATTTTCCTTAGAATGCTGTCTTTTTAAGACAAGATGAGGTGTCTACTTAATTCATTTTTTCGAGGAACGAGGAGTAACACGCTATTCCTAGAGAACAATAATCGTGGAACCCAGATGATGGAAGTAACAAATTTGGCGCCATTCTGATTTATGACAAGCGAGGGCGAGTTGACTTTGAATTTTTTGTAACACAATACAATTTATAACGGGAGAGATTTTTTTTCTCAACAAAATTTGTAATAGAAAATTTGTTAAAAGATAATCTATGATTTCGAAATACAGCACATTTCAGAGTTCTAGTTACAAGAGAAACCAAATTTCACAAAGTTGCTTCTGTATCATTTAGATTTTTTCAGCACTTTGATGAGACTAGGATGAATTTTACGAGAAAAACAAGAGTAATTATCAGTTATGTTCAATGGGAATTTCACCTAAAAAAAATCCTCTCGCCTCTTAAAAACTACCATCCCATGCTTTCTTAGGGAATAACGATTTGGTCCGATGCTAAGATCGATATCATGTTTTACTGCATGTCAATATCTGTGAGCCATTCTTGATGGTTATGGTTAACACTATATTGATAACTTTTTAGCTCGTAATTCATTGCTGAAAAATGTTCTAACATTTCTAACTCTCTAGTGCTGTATTATTTGGCTCGTACGCCAGGAACTTACTTCAACTATGCAACAGTGTAAACTCGTAAACACCTTTTTTTAGAAAGCAAAATATAAATTAACGTAGACAAGCAGCATGGCGGATAAATCTTTATCAAGATGATCAATAGCCATAAATCACTTGATATTGGGTTCAAGTTTTGGTTTCGTTGTCATTGGAAATCGACAAAACAAAGTACAGTCTTTCTTATATTAAATCTGAAAGAATATAAACCAAATAGTATCCACAAATGAATAATTGTGGCTACATCAAGCGAACCTCTTACATTAATAGTGTACATTAGCATTAACATTAGTGTTAATCTATGAGAACCATTTTTGCTTCTATCGTGCCATTTTCCCCTGTGCAAAAAGCCGCGAAACTGGAGGTACAAGTTCCAGATATATTGAACCAAGTTTCTAAAGTAGAAAAATCTGCATTATGACATTGCGAAATACCCTTAGTCAGTATGATAAAAGTGGAGAGAGAAACGAGCAAATTAAGTACCTGCCAAATGAAACAAACAATTCTACACACTGCAATTGACCAACTGGATAGACAGATCCTTAAAAGTAGTGAAAATAAAACTACAGATATGACACTAGAGAAGATATGACAATAAACGATTTCAGCCATACACGCGTCGTATATCAAATTTTACAACGAGTGCTTCTGAATTCGAAAATGATTACATAATCAAGCTCTTGCAAGCATCAAGAAAAAAATAGTGCTGCACTTCATGAACAAAGGGCTAACGCTCGAGACATCATCTTTAGAAACTCTTATGGCTTATTTTCCATGACTATGAATTCAGTTCTCTGATAAGTTGAATTGTTAAGAATCGCAGTAACAGACCTACTTGAACACGAGGGATGGTAGTTCGTCAGTAATTAAGAAAGATGTAGGCGTTCGTTTTGTCATGCGTGTTGGAAAAAGAAAAGTGTGAGTGGGGTACGCAAATTCTCTAAGAATCAATCCAGTGGGAAGATGCTATTTGTGAAGCACAATCTATTGAGTGTGGTGATATAGAACGGCTTTAACGATGTAACCACTAAATTATACCTTAAAAAAACTCGAACAGATTTCTCATAAGCTTTTTTCATCAATTTTAGGATGCAGTTATACAGCAGCATTTACCCGGGAGAGTGGAGACCGCCGAATACCATCAATAGGAATTGGCGAAAGGAGAGACATGACTCTTCGGCCTGTATTTGGATTCTGGTCGCTTTGGACCTGCTCATTGAATATTCCCATGTCGTGGTTTGCGGATTGTTGGGATACAAGACACCGGTTGAGTCAATATTCCAATATTGTAACGAAACTGTTCAAAATTGGCCAGCAAAAACCCGCGAATCCTTATTATTTAAGGGTAAGCTCCTTTCTCCACCACTAATTTCATATTTGCTATGCAGCGTTCTCTAACTATCACGGCAACAAAGCCTCTGACTAAGACATTTCGGATGCATCAGTAAGAATTCAGTTGTGCCTGCGGCGTTTTTAGAGAATTTTGCTGAAAATATTGTGTTTTTTTTATACTACAATATCCAAAGCTTTATTTAAACAATTTTATGACGGTATTGTGACCGAAAAAAGAATCATCTCTTCATTTCTGCGTCAATGAACCTAATTATGTCAGCGGATTTTATCTGCTGAAGAACTATTATTGATGGAGGATGTAGCAGAATCTTCCCAAAATGACCTCTATTACACAACAAGACTTTCGAGCATCCGAGCGGACACGGTTGCGGAAAGAATAATTTTTCATGATTTTTTTTTCAAGGTAACTACAACGTAGAACAGTTCTCAATTCAAACAAGGAACTTCCATAATAATTTTCACATAGTATTCATAGAAATTATGGAACTGAAAAGGAAAAGATAAAAAAGAGCCAGTGCTGACGCGGATATCCGAACAGTGACGAAAGTTCATGAGGATCTCAGTTGTGAGGCCCGGTGACCATATAAAACTATACTGAACCAGTCGGTGTTAATGGTCGAAAACCGAGGCGTTTTCAACTTTGACTGTCTGTTGCAAGCACAGGCAACAAATCCTAAAATACGTAACTGGTCTCCGAAAAACCAAGAGAGGCAGCTGAAAAGCGGTATTATCACGAGGTTCAACTTTAATTTTTTCTCCAAATATGTCAGTCGATCCAATATTTCTGCCTAATAAATATTGTGCGAATGAAACAATAAACTAATTTTTGTCACATTCGGCGGCAATCTCGGGATAATCCTGGCGTCCTTGTTGTGAGCGAGAATCCCGGTGCTATGCAGGTCAAAATCTTGGTGCCATCCTGGCTAAAATATTGGTGTTATTCCTTCCAGGATCCCGACGGAAATTCCGGTGCGATCCCGTGTCCAAAATGCCAGATCTACTTTTCAAACTTATGAAACACACTTTGAAAGCTGGCAAATAAATTAAACTTTGCTTTTTTCACGCAGGTAAATAGAAATGTGCCAGGTACCAACCTTTTCCAAGGAAAGATCATGAACTTCATGGTAGAGTGTACCTTGCAGATTGGACGCTCACTTCTACGAACACGGAGCTGTATGTTGTTCAAACTGGAAGGAAAGACCACATGTGTGTAAATAAGTATTTTTGCGTCCTGGAGAATTTTAAAACTCAACACTAAACTCAGGTTAAATGAGATGGAAAAAGTCGCCGGACGAGTCTCCTCTTTCAAGTCTTATTGTGCAAAATCTGTCAGCCAGTTTTGGAGACGGGGACTTGCTACTAAAGAAAAAAGACTAGTCATAGTCTACATTACTGTTTCCTAACGTAACGCGGATGGCTTGACAGTGACACTGACTGGGGAATTTTTCGATCTTGGACGTTCTTTCATGGAAACTTGCTTTTAGAAATGCGTTTCATTTCTTGGCAATTACAGGCTCTACCAAAGAAAATCCAAGGCGCGCAAAAGCTATAAAAGACTGTAAAATTGTTCCTATGATCTTTCGATGTTCATCCTATTGTTAGAGACATACTGGTGTTTGAGCCATCAATAACTAATCGAGTACATCTCTGTTCACAGGTCCCGTAATTAAACCAGTTATAACAAGTTCCTCCAGCATGCCATCGTTAACATCTTCTCCAGCATCGCTTACTTCGTCAAACGGCCTCTCTTCCACAGTTACGGCTTCCACACAGATCTCTCACGGAGTTACACCGACAACTATCGCCGTCCAATCTAGCATATCCGGAACTTCGCTCTTCCCAACAGCATCCGCTACCTACAGAATTATCTCTGAAAGTTCATTGAAGGCTTCGACTCTACAACCGACCATCTCTAAAATCCACCCACAAGTCTCCAATTCAAATTTACACGTTTCTGCAATGTCACCGACACCATCTCTTTCACAATCGATCGCCTCTGAAGCTTCTCCGGAAGTCCCCGAAACTCAGCCGACCATGTCCGAAATTGCACCGGCGCCACTTGATACCCGAGAAAGATCTGTAACAGAACCAGACTTTGAGGGGCCCAGTACCCAAGTGACCATCAAAACTATATCAGCATCAGCATCAGCATCAGCATCAGTACCAGACACTCAGCCGACTGTCGCCAAAATTGTACCCACGGAGCCTACAGCTCCAGTGACAGATCCAGAAACTGCACGGAAACTAGACCAAGTGGATCCAAATAACAACAATACTGCACAAAAAACCTTCCCCTCCAAAGTAAGAGAGTTAGAACAATTAATCATTTCCGCTTTGTTGTAGATGATCTACATGAAGTGACGTAGGTTTAGACTCACACCTTATCAATACAGAAAGTGAAACTGCAATTGGTGACAAGCTCTTTATACGTTTACGAAGAAAACCCTAAAAATAGTTAAACTGAGATATTGTACGCCTCTTCTTGTGTAGTACAAATCTACTTTTAACTGCATCACATGAGCTCGGAAATAAATTTAAACGAAGTGAAACAAAAAAGAAAAAGCATTCAGAAACTGCTATGATATGACTTCTCAGAATGGAGAAGATTAACATGGATTACAAATGAACACCAGGAAAATTTTGGCTTCTCAATATGGATCACAGTGAAACGTTCCTTTAAATCTTATTTTATGCCTTCTTTGGTACCCAGGCTCCACCCTCTATCGGAAGCAAGGATTTATCTTCCTCAGTTTTCATCACTGGCATAGCCGCTGCACTTGTATTTGCTGCCGTCATCGCTGTCATCATTGCCTATCGTCGCCACTACTCGAAGTAATTATAACCCAGCCATAACCCATACTACTGTTTAATGATGTTCGAGTGCTTTGTTTTTCTCATTTCATTCTGTCATTAAAATAGCACTCATTCCGAAATTCTTCATCCACAGTGGAAGGCGTCGCTCAAACTCTACAGAGACTGTCAGTGATAGGACAACGGTGAGATGTTAGGGACCTTTTACTGTCAAACTTCCTGAGAAGTCCTGTGCCAACGTGAATTGACCTATAATTTGAGAATTCAAGCTTGATTTGAAGTTGAAAAGGCGGTTTATTTTCCATCCCAAGTGCCATGGATTTGACTGTTGCTCTCTAACTTTCGATTTACTGTCATGTAGGCACGCACACTGCAAAGTTCGTGACGTACTTTGTCGGTTAAGGGATTGAAGAGTTTCACTGGTTCTCAATTTCATTTTCTAATCTCAAAATCTAAATTATATCGCAGGAAACAATAGTGATGAGCCCGCGAAGGAAAAGGTCACACCCATCAGATAAAGATAACAGCAACAACAATACGCTTGGATTTAAAAACCAAAGTAAGTCTGAAAAACAAAAAATATTTCGTTCACTGGAGATCATTCATTGGCCATAATGCTTTGATCAGTTTGAAATTAGGAGTAAACCTATGGGATTGCTGTCGAGCTTTGATCTGAATTAGTTCAGGGAGGGCGTGGGGTAGGGGTTAGGCAAGGCATTTTCAGTTTCTGAACAGCGCAATTTTTTGGAAGCTCCTTCGATCTCTCTCGTAATTGTATCTTTAATTTTCAGCGCAACGGACGTCGACAAACAGTGTTCCAGCATGGCTAACCGACCTGTATCAATCTCATGTAAACGGTTCACTTGAGGAAGAAGACAGCACCAGCCATTTGTACGCCCCGCTTGACATTCCAACAATCGCGGCTGAATTTCATCCAGAACCTTTTTATCACGTTTTAGAAAAACCTGAGAAACCTCTTGACCATGCCTCAGAAAAAAATAGACATGATGCCAGTACACACTGCAACAAGAGAGAGCCATTTTACTATGTCCTAGAGGGACCTTATCTCGATGATACAGAGAAACCTCCTCAGCGTGGTACCATTTCATTAGAGGAACCAATTTACTGTACCTTAGACGAAGTCTATCCACGTCGGTCCGGTTCGTCACATGGCACGGGCAAAAATGATTCAATATACAACGTTTTGGATAGGCGTTATTTTAAGAGCTCAAAAGTGCCTGATCATTATGTGTTCGTGTCCCCTAGAGGTGATATTTTGAACCGGTTAGAGACACTTCCTAAGGACGCTTCCTCAACTCCTTCTAATGATGGCCCTAGATGTGACTACATGGAGAGGCACAAGGTCCTGGACAAACGCTTCTTTGAAGAATCTGAGGTCGCTGATCATTACGTACAAATTTTCCCTTTCACACTTGATAACACGATAAGGCGTATCAATTCTAATTCTTCAAGAAAATCAAGTTTAGGTCGTCTGTCTACCAACGGACATTTAGAGGAATGCTATTTTCGAAGGTCAAACATTCCGTCTCAGTATGTCAACGTGCTGGATGTACAGGGTTTTAGCGCTTTGGAGAAATTAGGCTCAAGTCCAAATTCTTTAAGAAGAAATTCTTACGTTCATTCAACTCCCAATTCTTTGGAAAGACTTGACTGTGCCCTAAAAGGTTCAGATGAACCGGAGTACAGTTCCTGGAGAGAACTTTATCTTAGGGGCAACGTGGTTCTGAGCGAACGAGGTCCAAGCGCTTTGGAGGAATTAAACTCAAATCCAAATTCTTTACGAAAAACCGCTTGCCCCCATTCATCTCTGAATTCTTTGGAGAGACTTGATTGTGCCCTTAAAAGCCCAGATGAACCAGACTACTGTCTTATGATGGAAAATTATCTCAAGGGAAACGTAGCCCTGAGCAGGCAAGGTTTTAGTGCATTGGAAGAACTAAGGTCAAATCCAAACAGTTTAGGGAGAATCTCTTTCGTTCATTCAAATACAAACTCTTTGGAGAGACTTGGATACGCACTTGAATGTCCAGATGAACCAGATTACTGTCCTATGATGGAAAACTATTCAAGGGCCAAAGTAGCGCTAACTGGACAGGGTTTCAGCGCATTGGAAGAACTAAGCTCAAAACAAAGTTCTCTTAAAAGAACCATTTGCATTCAATCAAATCCAAACTCTCTGGAGAGACTTGATTCTGCCCTCGGAAGTCTAAGCGAACCAGAGTACCGTTTCATGGGTGAACGTTATCTTAGGAGCAAGAAAGCGCCGAATAGACAAGATTCTGGCGCATTGGGGGAACTAAGTTCAAATCCAAGTTCTTTAAGAAGACCCAAATGCGTTCATTCAGATCCGAATTCTTTGCATAGAGCTGATCCTGCCCTTAATTATACAAATGAACCAAATAACGGTTCTTCGATGGATTGTTACCCAGGGGACAACGCAACGCTGAACGAAGGAGGTCCTAGCGTATTGGAGAAATTAACCTCAAATCCAAATTCTTTGAGACGACTCGTTGAATTTCCAAATAAACCAAATTACAACTCTTCGATGGAACGTTATTTAAGTGAAAACGCACCGCTGAAAAGAGGAGGGTCTAGCGCATTAGAGGATTTAATAAGCTCAAACCCGAATTCTTTGGGTCGAACTGACCGCGTTCATTCAAAACGAAATTCTTTGGAGAGATCCGATTATGTCCTTGAATCTCCAGATGAACCAGAATATAAATCCTGGATGGAACTTAAAATGTATTTAAGGGGCAACATAGCGTTAAGAGAACAAGTTTCAAGCGCGTTGGAGGAATTACATGTAAATCCAAACTCTTTGGAAAACAACGATCAAAATTCTTTAAAGGGACCTGATCGCGCCCTCGAATGTCCAAATAAACCAGAATGCATTTCTGATATTTTTGTCACCAGAGGCGAGTCAGGCGACAGCACAGAAGATGTGGACTTGAACGCCTTAAAACCAACTGATAGTGAGGAAAGAAACTGTGCAAATTGTTACCAGGGAATCGCATTTCGCAGAGGTGCTGTAATGCGGAAAGATAATGCTAAAAAACGATCTGAGGAGCCTACTGACTGAATTCAAGACGGAAGTAAGGAGTGCTAAAGTGAATGGCGCCTTAGCTGGAAACCCAAGGAAGCTGATTGCATCGAAAAAATCGAGGCTGAGCACTGAGAAATTGAAACAGTCTGTACTATGGATTCTAGAAGAATCGGATAATCATTCATATAACTGAACAGGCTGCTTCAAAACGGTTCGAAGAGTGGCTTGCTTAGGGCTCAGTGGCAAGTGAGTCATTCTAGTAAACTAAGGTCGAAAGTTAAAAGTACCAAAGAGAGAAGCGTCTCAGCGAGAACTCTATGGAAACTGATCGCCAGAAAAAATCTTAGCTGCGCAAAATTCTCGCAGTCCGTAAAATGAACTCCAAACGAAATCTTTCAAAATTGCTGGCATGCTGTCAAAGGGAAACGACCTTGAAATTACACAAGGGAACTGAAACGAATTAAAGAATTCGGTAGATCATCAGTATTTGGGAAACGCAAGACAAAAATCCAGACTAAATAGGAAATTTTAATTTAGTATTGGATCATGATTTATTTCCTCCTTGACTCAGTGAAAAAATATGAAAGTGGTTACGAATTATGCGACATTATTATACATCATACCTGGTAGTTTAGCGAATCCAGATTTCATCGTAGATTTATAAACGTGCCAACCACAGGCGCCCTTCTCTGCTCTCTTGGTGCAAGTGCATCTGGCCTCAGCGTGTCTGATTTTAGTGTACTAGGCATGTTAAAGTAAACCAGAAATTGGAGTGATCTCCATATTTTTCTACTTGGCACTCTCTTAGTCATTAGAGGTCATTGACCATTTAGTTATAACTCCCGAGAATAATCAAGACAAAATTTATCGTTATGAAATCAACACAACATCAAGCAGAAAAGTGATAACGATAAAGAAAAAATCAATTAGAGGATTATTAGTTGATCCGATACCAAATTCTCCAAACTAACATCATAAGAATTGTATAGCAGACAGTAAAGAGAATTACTATAGTGATATCATAAGAGTGCAATAGTTTATATCTGTTTTTTCGGCTCTAAATAAACCGCAATCATGGAAAATACAGCGTAAGTAACTGAGGGTTTTTTTCATTGTGCTTTACGGAGTGATGAGAAAGTCTTCATCTCAAACCCCTCGCGACTTAATCGCTCGACTCCACCGTATGACACTTCAAAGCGCACGCAAAACCTCTAGCTACGCAGGCACAGAAGCTTTGCGCTGTTGGTCGTGTACAGTTTTGTCCACATTTCAGGTTAAGTCCACTCGCTTTTGGCCCATCTTGCGCGCTTACTGACGCTGGCATTTCAACGGTGTTTACGTCAGTCTCTGGTTTTTATGAAAATACAATTCTAAATATATTTCTTGGTGTAGCGAGGCCTTTGCTCTTTGAGAGACAGATAAGAATTACGTTGTTGTTTTGATTATGTAGGCATTCACCATTTTTCAGTTAAACACACAATTATATTTCAGATTCTTTAATCAAAATTTAAACAAGCCGGTTAAATAATTGATTCAAAACTGCTCTCTAACACAAAGCGTTGTATACACGCAAATATTGCTCCGGGAAGGAGGAATAATTATGTTGAGCAATTAAAAGCGGTAAGCAAAAAGCAAATATTGGCCCAGTAAATTCAAAGGTGATGTACACTCATACTAAAAAAGGTAAAAAATGATTTCTGCTCTCAAAATTATTAACGCCGGTTGATTTTTTAACGCTCGACAATTTAAACTAAAGCTACATGCGCTAAAAAACACAAATTAACCCTCGTGAAGGCAGTGTTTAGATTTAACAAGCTTGTCTTAATTATTTCATTATTCTGTAATAAATCGTTGTTGAAAGATCGATATAAAGAACGAAATTCTAAGTCTGAATGAAATCAGAGATTCACCTTTGTTCGGTTGTTAATGACGGTATGAAGCTCGAGTTGATCGCATGAAATTCTCCTCCTCAATGAACCGCTTCGATTGTTAAATCCGTGTGTTTACATAGTTCTTTACGTCTGAGGGAGGAATACGTCGTTTAGCTGTTGACAACACCTGTTCCGCTTCGTAGTGATTCTTAATGCCTCTAAATTTAAACCGAATTAAAAGCATCCGAGTTGTCGACGAGAATTCGTATTTTTTATCCAAAATACCCACGCTTTTTGCATGCATGCATAATAAATTGTGTTCATCGTTTCGGTGGAGTGGAGGACAGGGTGTGAGTATGCTTTGGAAAGCTTTTCTCTGTTTTCACTCTCGCTGAATAAAACTTCTCTCTTTCGGCACTTAGGCCGGTAACTTGGAGGAAGCCACTTTTCACCCTTACAGTTATTTTTGGCTTCTCAGAAAATGGCACCTTCATATAATGAGACCTTGAGGTCACAATTCAATTGTTTTTACAGCATTTTCTCAATATAGGGTTTGACGTTATGAACAAGGAGGAAATGACATAACTAAAATTTTCTGCACTTTGGTGCCGGGTACATTGAATAAGAAATTATTAAAATTGGCTTTTTCCATGTTCTGCCTTTGTCTTCCTTCCTTTGTTTCTATGAAAGAAAAAACCCTCACAGGCTTCTCAAAATTATCTTTTTATCTAGGGCTGTAGAAATCCGCTAAAAGGGCACAAACTGTATTTGTTATCTCGTACCTACTGACACTCAATGAGTTCGTAGGTTAAAACAACGAAGATGAACAGAAAGGATGCACTCAAAATAGTTTATTTTTGGCTTTCTCAGACTCTGCTAACAAGATTTTCATATCACTTTGGTCAATAACTTTAGTACATTCTTTCTATATAGAATGATGATTTTAAAAACAAAGAACAACAGGCCCAACTCCATAATTGGCAGGGTACCAAATCACATCTGATGCGTGGTTCATTCCTTGTCATTGTAAATGAGCTCCTTCTTGCAGTGCTCCCTGGCCGTTTGACAAAAAGCCCTTCCAGCCAGTTGGTGCTGAAAAAAAGGCGGCGAACGTGAGATCTTTTGTAATATTTAATTGAACCGCCGTCAAAAGCATATTAATGTGCGTAGAACATAAAATGAGTGGGAAAACGTCCACTCCTCCTCGCTAACTGTGCTTTCATTGATCTTCCCACATCCAAAACTGGATCGAAAAAACCGAAATTAGAACTGAATTTAATCTTCTTAAACGAAAAAAAAACTTCAACACAAAGCTTCGTCAGGTCTCTTTTTTTTTGTTTTTCAATCATTCCTAACTGATGTCAACCAATCTTAAAAGCCTTTTGAGTTCTTATCATCACCCCTAGGTGCTGATTTTTTGTAAAGTTTTCTTTTTGAGTTTCAATTAAACCAATTTACTTTCTCCTGCTCAATCTAATGACTTAAGGGTAATAGCATATACATGTTAGAGATTATCTTCACATATAAATAAAAAATGAATCATTAACGTAAATGAAGTCGTCAAAATCATCCTTTAGACTTCGAGAATTATTCATCGGGACTAAGTCTTCATGAACTTTTACCAGCTTAGAATAAATAAAACGGTCTTTTTTGTGAAGACAGTGAATAGCACTGTTTTTTTTGACGTCAGTTACAAAGTCAGACTGTTTGGTAAATGTAGGACAGCATCCAATTTTCATTCGCAGTGATATAATATAATTTGAAATTGAATTTCTCTCTAAATGACCCTTTTAATAAGTGATTACATTACTATAAAATTCTAATAAAAGTGTAAAATGATTGAAATCTTCGAATCCCATCAAATCAGATCGTTTCCTTCAAAATTTTGGTAAACCTTCTATTTTAAGTGGCGCTAATGGTGTTGACGATTCTCCAATTCTCATCCAAAATCAACGCTGTTGAAAATGTCTAGAGAACAGTTTACCATCTGGGTATCTCTTCTCGTTAGGCTTCTTCATCTTGAAAAAATATCTCGCTATATGAAGGAGCTAAAAGTCATTATAAATAAAAATTTAGGAAACGTCAGATAAAATTGTTTCGTGTTCAAAATAACTCATTTTTCTATAGCAAAAACTTATCAATGTCTTGTGATCTTTGATAATGATGATGTTAGCTTTCTTATTAACACAAAATTGCTTCTGTAAAAATATAAAACTCAACACCATCTACAACATTTATATTATTAACCATGCTTAGTCATATTGGAATTGCTCTAGGAGAAAAATCTTTTTCTGACTCACACTGTTCCTTACAGAAGCGATAGTGTCCATAAACGAAAACAAAAGGAAATGTTATCGATTTTATAATAAATAAAAAGAATTTACAATCGACTGTAACGTATACTGAAATAATCAATCCATATTAACCAGCAATACTCAATGTAAGCTTCAAACACTACTATTCATTTAAGAAAACCTACTTCGAGTGCTCGTCTTCCCTGTGTATGAGGAATGTTTCCTCCGCCTCCAGCTGTGAATCCTTCACTCTCTGGCAAGAACGACGCAGCGAGGACAAAGAGAGCAAAAACCAGGATTACTCTTGAGTTCATCTTGAATAACTAAAGTTAACGGAGTTCTTTATCGAAATATAATTCAAATGCGTTTCTTCTTGATAACCGAGCGGGTATGAGATGGATGACCGTGAAGAAGGCGTTTTTTAATGCCTCAAGAACAAAAGAAATCCTTGTGTAATTTCCGTATGACCGGAATGATGTTTAATGAAGTTATAATTGAAAATAAATTGCGGTTTTGACAGCTCTTGCAAACAATTTTTCTTTGAAGCACAAGACGAAATTTCCGGCTCGTCGAGATGTGAATACGAAGACACGCTTCAAAAACTTCTGCAGAGAACATCTTTACACAGAACCATTCTAATTTCCAAAGTTAGATTTAGAATTCACAGTTTGCAATAATAAAGTCTTTTAAAACGACAATGTTGCAGGTCTATTTTCTGAATATAATCTTTCCATTCTTTATAGCAGCCGGATTTTGGATAAAGAAAGCTTTCACGTTTGTTTATATTTTGCATGATTAAGATCATATCAATACAAGGTTCTGCCATCGCACGACACTTCCTTAACGTATGCGATAACTTCCTGATAATAATGTACACAATTCACCACGTGTTCCCAAACAACGCTGGCGGAATATTCCAAAAATATTCCTTTCTTATCGCTATGATAAGCTTAAATCAATCGACGCCGTATAAAGTCCATTAGAGGTGTACTCAACATACGCTTACATATGTCTCAGGGAAATGGAGCTCTTCATTTCTAGCACAATTACTGACGCGTTCTGCCTAGATTTCAGTGAAGATAAAGTAATAGAACTATTACTGAACTTGTGTCTAAGTGACAAAGACATGATTAATTACTGTTGCTCTCACATACTGTAG